CCAGGTCGCGCTGTGGTGCGCGTAGACGGGTCCGCTGGTACTGTCATCCACTGAACACATTCAGAATGAATACGTCAGAATGATACCCTTTTGTGTACCGGCGCAAACGCATGAATCGAAAGCTTTTAAACCATAATGGACAAACTTAACAGGAAATGTTAAATGTAAGGTTACTTCTGTTAGGGCGTACCTAACGAATAGCCTTAGCAAACAGTCAGCTAGCAAGCGCTAGCCGCACTCACGGCAGGCTATCCATCGGCCTACAAGTGGCGAAGCATACTGAGAGGCAATCAATCAATAAATATAGACTTCAAGCTACAGTTAGCTGTCGAGTCACTAGCCAACCGGTAGCAAAGTCAGGACAGAAGCTGATCGGCCCGATGGACATAGTTTACAGGCGTTTGTTGCTATAAATATGTTGTACCTGTTACACTCAAAGACTTCTGCTGTTGCTCTCTTCTTGTCGTTTTCTTCCTTGGGGGACTCACACAATACGTTATTGGGCGGTGATATCTCGGTCTGAGCTACCGTCACAAAAACTTCGTTTAGAAATACCGATTTTTTAAAGAAAAACTTTTAACTTACGAAAACGTAAAAGTTCACTCTAACTGTTAGCTTCACCCCGACCACCGTCAGGCATTTAATAGCACCGTTTTGAAAGAAACTCTTATGCTATTAAGATGCATTTACTCAACTGACATCAAGGAGTGAAATTATAATAGACATCGGGTAAAGCATTAATCTACGAAAAAATAGTTTTCATGGACAAGACTTTTTTTTCCTGTGGTGCCAAGGATTTTTGGCGACCTCAACCCAGAATTCAAGCTGGAGAACTCAGTTAAGTCATGGCTAGCCAGACAGCGGTTGTCCGCTATGGTTTAATTATGGGATGGTAGTGGTGATGGCATTGTGCGAAGGTAAACGTCTGTAGGGGTCTAAGTCGTGGTTGTGCATAGATCACTACAATCATCAGGTCGAATCCCAGGTTGGAAGTTAAAAGGCAGAAGGCACCTGTGAGAGAGGTTTATTGTCTGCTGTCTCGGGTGGCAGTGGCCACTGGTGATGCCAGGGCTAGGGCTGACTGCTTCCAGTCAGACCTTAGAGAGTCGACCGTCTGTTGTGTGGGGTGATGACGGCTGCTTTTACAGGACTGTGAAGCGAGTTCAAGTGCTTTGCTATAGCTGTGTTGCAAGTTGCCCCACGGTATTTCGCCTGTAGAGGTCTTTGCTGCATCGGCCGAGGGGTGTCAAGTGGGCCTTAGGCAGCCGCGCTTATCTGCTGAGTAAGCTGAGATCAACCGTCGGGTCCGCTGACACGCCGAAGAACAGGGAACGTTGACGCAGCTGTTATCGGTTAGCCAGAAGTAGCTGCGAGGTGAAGCCTCGGGGGGCGGGGGCGCCAGTGAAATAAAGCATTGGAACAGTTGTTTGTGACGACACGAC